TTTAACTGCTTTGTTGGAGAGTTTCTTTTCTAAGTTTATTTATTTATTTTGAGAGAGAGAGGGGGATGGGGGAGGGGCAGAGACAGGGAGAATCCCAAGCAGGCTCCACAGTGTCAGCCCTGATGCAGGGCTCAGTGCCGTGATGTTAGGTAACTTCTAAACACTCAAGCATCCTGAGACTTTGCTGAGTTCATGTATCAGCTCTAGCAGTTTTTTGGTGGAGTCTTTCGAGTTTTCCACGTAGAGTGTCATGTCATCTGCAAAACGTGAAAGTTTGACTTCTTTGCCAATTTGGATGCCTTTATTTCATTTTGTTGTCTGATTGCTGAGGCTAGGACCCCCAACACTATGTTAAACAGCAGCGGTGAGAGTGGACATCCCTGGCATGCTCCTGATCTTTGGGGGAGATCTCTCAATCTTTTCCCATGGAGGGTGATCATTAGCTGTGGGCCTTTTTTGTATGGCTTTTATGGTGTTAAGGGGTGTTCCTTCTATCCCGACTTTCTTGAGCATTTTTATCAAGAAAGATTCTGTATTCTGTTGAATGCTTTTTCTGCATCCACTGACAGGATCATATGGTTCTTGTCCTTTCTTCTATTAATGTGATGTATCACATTGATTTGCAAATATTGAACCAGACTTGCAGCTCAGGAATGAATCCCATGTGATCATGGTGAATAATTCTTTGGATCCACTGTTGAATTCAATTTGCTAGTATCTTGTTAAGAATTTTTGCAGGATATAAAATCAATGTACAGAAATCGGTTGCATTTCTATACAGCAATAATGAAGCAACAGAAAGAGAAATCAAGGAATTGATCCCATATACATAGACCTGGAGGAAACTGTAACTCACAGTGGTGCTGTGAGCTTACTCATCAGGAAGGGGTCACATTCATGGAAAAGGAATAACAAAAAACCTGACTGCACTTACTGCTTCCAAACTGGTCTCTTGGGATCAGAGATTCATTAGAGAAATGTGCTTTGTGTGCCAAAGGGTTGTCCACTTGGGAGCCATGCTGGAGTAAGAAGAGAGACATGTACCTAACGAGCAGATACAGGGTGCCGAAAATACCTCCTAGTCTCCTGTCAGTGTGTGCACCTTAGACAGGAATGGGTGTGGTTTTCGTCTGGTGTTCTGAGTACTCATATTGGCTGGGGGCTGATGCTTCTCTGACCTTCCTGCTTTCTCCATTGAGGAGAAAATGATCTATAATCTAGCATCCAGGGAGGAATTCAGCATCCAGGGAGGGATTCAGACTTCCACAAGGAGACCTTCCTGTCAGACAACTCAGCCTCGTCATCCGTGGATGAGAGCGTCAGAGAGAGTGGAAGTCGAGAACATTAAATGTCATCTCCTGAGGGCCAATCCAATTTAGCCCAGAGCATATCGCTGTGTCTGTGTGTTTGCTCGTTTAAGTTATAATGTATTTATTCAGTGCTAATGTCAGTTTCACCGAATGACTGCCGTTCACACTTTTGAAGATCTTTCTTATTCTACCATTCAATTGCTATTATGGCCATGCTTCAAAAAATATGTTGAGATTGTTAAATTCAATGTGTGGTTCTAATCAGGTGTAATTTTGTCCCCCAGGGGACATTGATCAATGTCTGGAGACACTTTGTCTGTCACGCTGGAGAGGGGTGCACAGAGGTCAGGGATTCTATGAACATCTTACAGGGCACAGGACGCTCCCCTACACAGGGCAGGCTCTGGGCAGGATGGGTGCAGAGACTGGGAAACTCCTGGTGACAGAATGTCAGTATATGTATGTAATACAGCTGCTTTCAGCTTCTGCGTTCAACCTTGTAACACTTACTCTTATGCCAACAAATTCAGAATAGCCCTTTGGCTCCTATTTGAAAGTTTGAAGCACAAACAGTGTAACAGTCCTGTAAGTTTTTTTCCAGGCTTGTGGGTGAAAGAGACAGTTCTTGTTATTTTCCTAAACCATCCCTCAGTTTCAGCCAAGGTCATATGTTTGTTGACCATCCTGATTGGTTTTATTTTTATTATATGCCCATAGGTTATTCTCTCTCTCTCTCTCTCTTTTATTTTTAAAACATTACCAACATTTGAAATGATTTCCTGAGATCACTGTTTCTCAATTGATTTTTGCCACATATTTTGATCATAAAAATTTTTAATTTTATTTAAATAAATCTATCTTCTTACTTCTGAGATTATGGCTTTATTTAGTGGTTTTGCTCACCTGTGAATGTTATATGTAGTTTCCTTGATGTTCTGCTATATTGTATGGTTTCACTTACACTGGGGTCATAATCCCTCTGAATTTTTGTGAAGTGTCTGAGGAGGGGACCAATTGCATATTCTTCCAGATAGATATCCATTGACGCC